GCTTCCACAAGTCAACAACCCCCCCTTTCTGCCTTCTATGACCCTCCCATGGCGACGTGTAAGCAATTAACTAAAAGAAAAAAAAAAGGAAAAAAATCCAAGAAAAGCAACAAGAAGAAAAAAGGAAAAAAATCTAAGAAAAGCAATAAGAAAGAAAAGGAAAAAAATCCAAGAAAAGCAATAAGAAGAAAAAAGGAAAAAAAATCCAAGAAAAGCAATAAGAAGAATAAAGGGAAAAAAATCCAAGAAAAGCAACAAGTAAAGGAGTATGCCTTCAGAGGTAAAAGATGAGAGCGAAAGTACGTTGAAAGAAGAGGGCAAATGTTTGAATAAGAAGTTTCAAAAAAAAAAAAGAGCAATTGGTCATTATTGTCATGTGAAAACTACTAGTCTAGCCTGCTTGTCTATTTGTTTTCACATGGTGCCCCTTTTTGACAGTGATCATAATGGTCATTCTTCCCCTGCACCCCACCCCACCGCACCTCCCCAAAAAAAAAAAAAGAAAGGACAATGATGGTGGTGATTGTTCTTTTGTGTTTCATTTTTTTGATTCATCGTTTTTGTGGTCCATGCGCGCAGAGGGGTCCGGCCATTCTTGTTGTCAAAGGCCCATTTACAGCGTCGAGCATTTTATGCTTCATCTGCAGGTAAAGCTGTGTTGTCATCTCATGACCGAGCTTTCCATATTCTTGTTCTGCTACTTATTTATCTAAATTATTTAAATGATTTAAATGATTTAAATGATTTAAAGTAAATTATTTACTTAAATTATTTGGTTATGTAAACCACGAGGACGTTTCCCAGCTATCTTGTTCCGGTGTGGCGGGTTAATCATCGAAAAATCACACCTGCGCCGGTTAACCCGCCACGCCGCAGCTGGTGCAAACTCGCATCCGCTTCGGTTAACCCGCCACGTCATCCAGTGCGGCCTACGGGATGCTACCAGTGGTGCTGGGACTGGACCTGGTTGCCGACTGGGACCTGGACCGGTTTGCAGACCGGGACCTACACTTGGGCCAGGCGCAGGGACTTGGAACTGGTTCTGGTTGGGACTCAACCAGGTCCAGGTCCCAGTCCCAGTCGTGGTCCAGGACTGGGACCTGGACCTGGTTGAGGACTGCTAATATTGGCACTTTTTTTTATTTTTATTTTTATTTTATTTTAACGATGGCCACTGGTGATGCTGCTGCAGGCAATGCAGGTTTGGAGTCCGACTCAGCATGTCTAAATGAGAATCAGCAAAAGCAATTGGAGCACGATCACGAAGAGGAGGTGGGAGGCAGAGGGACAGCAAGGACTGGATCTGACAGGAATTTGTCAGGGAAGCAGAAGGGTAAGCCAGCAATTTCACACTTACTGGTCAGCAGCGCTCAGCGGTCTTGGTTGCTGTGCTGGGTCAATAGAGAGCTGCAAGCTCTCACAAAGGTATGTTTGCTGACATGGCGAGTTGATTGGGGCTCCCCCAAATGCTCGTTCACGCCTTCCCCCACCTCCTCCTTTTTTTTAACTTTTTTTTAATATTATAATATATAATTATATTAAATATAATAAATTTGGACCATTTCTCGACTTTGTTTTTATGCATGTCATCCTTGTCCAGGCGCCCCACACTAATCTTCTTTCTCTGTATTGTTCCAACTTCCAAGCTTTTTTTTTTTTTTTTTTTTTTTTTTTGTGCGCGCGCGCGTAGTGTTCCAAGTTTAATGGATGTCCCGAACAGGACTTCGTTCGCTTCTCGGTTCTGTTTCCTTTTCTTTCTTTTCGTCTTTATTTATTTACAAGTTATGACTTTTATTTGTGAAAGAAATTGGACAGTGTATATCAGTTTATTGATTCGTGTATGTCATCCTTGCATGGGCAGGGGCCATGCTCTTTTTTTTTTTGTTTTTTTTTTTGGGTCGTGTAGGGA